GAGGGGTTCTCACTTTCTGTCTCTCCAGCAAGTACACATGCCCTATAGCAAAAATCTCTTTTGAAAAAATGAGAGTTAAAGCCCAAACATAAAAACTGTATTAAAAGAACACATATTTCTCTTGATAATAAATAAGAGAAGGAAACAATATAATAAAATCACTTTATAAAGCTCTATCTATAAGCATGGCAATCACTGTCTTGCAGATACTTCAGTTACAGAGACAGTCCAAATATCTACCCGCATTGGAAAGCAAACTTTCTCCCATTCAAACTTAACTGGGCAGAGTTATCCTGAACTAGAAACTACATACAACTACTGAATATTGTTCATAAGGTACTCATTATCTCATCATTTTTCTGGGATACTAATTTATATTGGAGGTAATTAATAAAGTTAATTAAAATTCCATTCGCTTGCCTATTAACACAGACTCGCAAACAGTTTAAGTCTCCTGGATAATGAAGAGTAATTTGGGTCTGTTAATAGTTTAGGAGAGCAAGCAAATCCAGGACAAAGATGGCTGCTGTGCTTGAATTTTACATCTGATACCTAAATATATGCAAGGGAAACATGTTATAATATCTGATTTTAGATATGGATGTAGTAGAAAACTGAACTTTATAAAACATACACTTGATTTGGCTTCATTCAGAAAATTTTTTTCAAGATATTGGACTATGAAATGTTAAACGCCTTCATTTGTAAGAAACATAATAGAAACAACTGGTCCAGTGATATTGAAAGTCTCCAGAACAAAATTTAGCTAATCATAAGCACAGATTCATTGAAAATATGTGACAGACAAAAAAAAATATGAGAACAGAAGACATTAAATTAAAAATGAAAAAATGTGGATGATTTATTCAGCACTTTAAATTAGTCTTTGGTCCCAAATGTTTTGCTTTTACTAAGTTCATAGGGTGGCTTTTATTTCTTTTATTTAGTTATTTCTTGCCTAAACTGTATTTGCACTTCTCTAGGAATTTCTATACTGGCCTCTACCTGAAGTCAAAGTAGAACTCAGAAGGAGGAAAAAAAGTAAAACTGCTCCATTGTGATAAGCATTTTCTTTATCATAAAAATAATACTCTCCAGGGACCAGCAGTTGGCATAATGGCTGTGTCATCAGACTCCCATGTAGTCGACCACGGTGTGAGTCCTGGGCCCAGTGGCTTAAACTCACACCAGGCACATGTGCATGCATGCCCAAGATCCCAAGAGGAGAACGGAGGAGAAGGGATTGCAGCGTTGCCATCCCCCATGGGGGGTGATTTCTCACTTTCTGTTTCTCTGTTTCTGCCTATCTTTCTGGCGAGCATACGCGCCCTATAGCAAAAATCTCTCCAAAAAAACATATTCTAAATATAACTAAATAGTTATATTTAATAGTCAAGGCCTCTTCTACATAGCCCTCTAAGAAATCACTTAAACAAGCATACTAGAAATAGTACCATGAAGTAACCACTTGCTTTCAAGACACAGTTCACATCAGTTCCATATGTCATCATTTAATCTCTCATTTTATGATGAACATGAATAACTTTAAGGTTAGCTAATAACAAAAATAAATGATCTAAGAAAGCAGCAGATAGTACAAGTTGTACCTACCTCATTTTTTAAATTATCTGAAGCATTCAATGCAGATTTGGGATCACCACCGACCTGTTCACTTGCTGAAACTTTGGATTCAAATTCTGATTTTGTGATCTTCCCTTTGCTATGTGAAGATGACACATTTTCTATATGCTGGCCAACAAGACTATATGGAACCAAAAGAAATAGTAAGTAAACAGATTTTAGCTGTATGACAAATTTTATACAATCTAAACTACGATCATTATCATGTACAAAGTAAAACAAGAAAGGAACACATAAAGATCAACTTTCTCCCATTCATAAAATAGAAATAAGCATGCACCAGAGTCCATCGAAACATCACACTGCTTTTACTACAGAAATCATACTACACATAAAGAACTGCTCAAACCCACCTTTCAGGTGGACTGACGAAGGAAGGTTGTTTGACTGGAGGATTTGCATCAGGTGTCTCACCAACATCACAATCAGTTTCAGACTGCTCAGTTTCACTTGGTTTGGCTACAGGGATAGTACCAGATTCTTCTATTTCGCTTAAAAAAAAAAAATCTGGTAATTTAATCGACTTAATGTAATAGCTGGGATCTAATCAACTTCACTCACTGAGTTAGGCAACTGAATAAATAAACTTATAAGACCATTACATTGAAATAAACATACACATACATACACACACAACACGTATTAAAACGTAGATCTGCTGTGTAGTCTAGAGTTCAAACTTGAGCAAGTGTCCTTATCCTATTAAGAAATTTTCCTATAATTAACTAGAGATTTCTTTTTTTTCTTTGTAATGACTTACTCGAGCTTTGAAATTGGAGTGATTTCTGAGGTAGATGAGCTAGAAATATTTTCTATGTTTTCACTGCCCACAACTACATTGGAAGAATCTTCATGTAAATCAACTGTAGGGAGTGTCTCAATCACAGGTGAACTTAACTTTTTCGATTCCATATTCTGTCAAAAAAAAGAAAGTTGTATTAAAGGCTGATATTAACAAATAATCTCTTTAGCTGAATAAGAGTTTATGTGAAGTATTTCTAAAAGAAAAAAAGGCAATTTAAAGAATGTTCACTAAAAAAGCACTTTTATAAAGATCCTTTTCTTTAACATTACTACCCTAAAAAATATTTCATATTAAAATAGAAGTTCTATGCATTTTTTGACATTTTGCAAGCTAGAAAAATGTTTTTCTCTTTCTCTCCTTTTTTATATCCTGCTTTGTATCAGGACCTAAAAATACTTCCCTCTTACTATAATTAGTGAACCCAAGTAGCAAGAAAGAAATGCTATGTAAATATACGAAATGCACAACACATAGTTCTTGTCCCTGAGCAGTTTAGGAAATAAAATGTATCAATAAAAACAATATAAGATTTGCACAAGTAACATGACAAAATGATAAATGACTCCTGCTCCTTTAGTCCTGAAAGCTCCTGGTCATTCACCCTTCTACAACACAATCTGCCTAATATTTACTCACAATGCCAAACCTTTCTCAGCACCTCCTTTCCAACAACCCACCCTAAATATTCATAGGGTTAGCCATGCCTAGACCAGCTACAGTGGTGCAGCAGTGAAGCCACTCTCTGTGATGCTGAGGCCAGATGGGAAGATCCTGGGTTAGAGATCCTAGGTCTCTGCTCAAGCCAGGTGCACATGTGTGCGTCTATGATTCAGGCTGGCTAAGGTCAGGGGTAGGCTGCAATATGAAAACCTTATTGGTGGTACATCTTTCTTTCTCTCTTCAAAAAATTACTGAAAAAAAAAAAAAAGAATTAGCCCTTCTCTTCTCTCTATACTACACTGACCCCCACACAGACTTTTATCACAGGATCCGTAACAGCTCCATTGCCGTTATTTATGTCTCCCTCTCTTCTTAAACTATACTATAAACACTTCGAGTAAGAGGTTTCTTCATCTTTATATTCCTAGTGTCTTGCACAGTACTTAATAACACTAAGCATTTAAATGCTTAAAAACAATATTGGGTTGCTGGAAAAGTCATGACACATTTTTGCACAGGAAAACATAGAAAAATACATGACTTTTCCGATGACCCCATAAATACCAAGTGACAAGTACTCAAAGTGACAAGAACTCACAGTTAGTTTAAGAAAAAGAGAAACTGAACTAGAAGAATGAACCACTGAAGCAAGTAAGTGCCAGTATGGGAACAGAAAGAAAACACAAGGCACTGAGTCAGGAGAATACAAAGTAAGATCATTTGGGGAACTGACACTGCAAAATGGAAATATAAGTAGTAGCTTGCATTTTTATGGTGAAGGCCTTGGAAAAAGGACTATTATTATCAAACACAGTATTGTCATTTCAACATGTATGAACATTTTTTTAAATTAGTAAGATACTTTCTCTTTATTAAACAAAATCTTCAAATTCTGATGTTTATACTTACAGTAAATCTCAATTTGGACTAGACACACTTTAAGTGTTCAAGTGACTATTGGCTGCAGTACTGAACAGCACTTAAAGGAATCTGAGCAAAAACATAGTATGATAAAAATTCTAGAAAATAAAAAATGGCACAACTGTTCAGGACAGCCATGTAATTGGAAGGGCTACAGGTAAGTTTTCTCTGACTTCTATGCACAAACTTTTGGCAAATGTCTTTTGGAATCCAACAAAATAAAGTTTACTCTATCTTCTTAGATAGAATAGTAATTATAAAATAGCCTTGCATTAAAAGGGGTGGGGGGTGATAATTCTCCATTTCAAGCTAAAATTTGTTTTCTTAATATCTGAGATATTAATTTTTCCTTAGTCCTTTTGCCTCCAGACCAAGTATTTGCAGTTCATTCATTACTATTATTAAATGGCTCCCCAATGCCTCAGCATTCTGCTTTACAGGGTATATATTCTATTTTTTATATATGTTTCATAATTCTGAAAACAATATTCAGAATGCTATATGGAAAAAAAAGGGGGTCCAATCAGTAGTATGGTGATTGGGCAGCAGGATTCCCACATGGCTAATTGCATGGTTCTAGTCATGACCCAGTGGCTTGAAAAATACACTGGGTGTATATGTGTGCATGCCCAAAATCCTGAAAGGAGGTGAGATGGGATGAGTGACCATTCTCTCTCTCTTTCTGGTGAGTAAAGGTACTTTCTGGCACATTAAGAAAAAAAAGGAAGAAAGGAAGGAAAAGGTAAAAAATATATTTTAATCTGTTGTCTATTAATTTATAGTCCATACTAAGTGAGATGTTGTTATCAAACTACTCAGTTTTCTAACTACAAATACTTGCTTTTGTTGTAAATGAAGCAGATTAGAAAAAATTTCCTGGCATTTGAAAAGACAAGATAGATACAAGAGGACTTCAAAACGCTCATAGAAAAATGGAATTAAGGGAACCAGCAGGTGCTGTGGTGGTTAAGGTGCTGGACATTCCCACATGGCCGACCAGAGTTCGAGTCCTGAATCTGGTGACTTGCTTTCTCACTTCTCTCTCTCAGTCTCACCCTCTGTCTCTCTCTCTGGTCAAATTAAAAAATAAATGAATGAATAAATAAAATTAAACAATTATTAAAAAAAAGAAAAATGGAATTAAAGTACAAGTTTATTTTGGTGTAAAAAAACTTAAATCCATGCAGTTTTTTATAATATGCATTTTCTATTATACTGAACCAAAATTAAAACTTAAGAAATAAAGCGTACACTCAAATTTTTACAACAAAGAGTCCCATCTATTTTACATGTTCTCAAAAGTGGTACTATTAGCGGGTAAATAATCTTAAATTCAGTTACATGGTACTTAAAAATGAAAAATAACATGCAATATGGTGACCAAACAGGTCTTCTACTTTGTGAAATAGTTTGAATGGGAATATTAATAAAACTCAAAGCAACACATAGCTTACTTGTACATCCAGAATGTAGTCATCTTTCATTTTACGTTCTTCTGGAGGAATATGTAAATTTGAATCTAATTTTCCCAATAATTCGCTATTGACAGGTCTCTCTCTTTCATCCTATATTTCAACAAAGAAAAAAAAAAAACCCTGCTTATTGGTACATATTAATTTGTTTTTTACAACATTTGGTCTCCAAATATCTTATCAAAGAAGAGATTAGGTACAAGTTTTACAGACTGTGTAAAAGCATAGAATTATTGCTTTTTTTTAGAGAGATATTTAGCAGTCTTCCAAAATTTATATGCTCATGGGACCAGCAGTTAGTGTAACGGCTATGTCACTGAACTCCCATGTAGCCGACCGTGGTTCGACTCCTAGACTCAGTGGCTTAAACTCACAGTGGGCATGTGTGCGTGTGTGCCCAAGATCCCAAGAGGAGAATGGAGGAAAAGGGATTGCGGCATGGCCATCCCACCTGGGGGGTGATTTCTCGCTTTCTGTCTCTCTGTCTCTTTCTGTCTCTCTGGTGAGCACACACGCCCTATAGCAAAAACCTCTCCAAAAAAAAATAAAATAAAATAAATGCTCCAGACCAGAAGTATATTCTCCATAACTTGAAAATGTAAATAATCCACTCTCAACATAATGTTTAAAACACCCCAAACATGTAAACATAACATTTGTGTTGATATTCACATATATTTACACTAGCACACATGCACACACACACACAACCCTGGGGAACAATGCAAAATATTAGAAATCTTTTTTATTAATCATAGGAATGATTAATAAAAGATGACACATCTATACAACAGAATGAAAATGTAGCCATTCAGAAGAATATATTAACATGATAAGTTAATATATGAAATATCACAGTAAGAGAGGGAGAAATCAGTCTGTCATTTATTTGTATGACACCTTAATGAAAATAAAAATACTAATTTGTATATATTTATAAAGGTATATCTATGCCCACAGCAAAAGGTCTCAACATTTTCAAAAGAAACAGTAAACACTGCTTCCATTTGGGAGGGAATAACTATTTTATAGTGAATAAAAATTAATTCTATAATTTAAAATAAATATACTGAAGTTGAAGGCAAAAGACAACTCACCTTTTATCATATAAAATGGAAAAATAGTTAAGTGACTTAGCGATCATCACTTTTTGATTCCTGTCTATTTATTGCACCTAATTATATACAAGAAACTATAAGGCCACTAGTTGCATATTTTTCTTATAATACACATTTTTAGCAGTTTTTTATTTGTAAGAGTTAATTTATAAGATTTATAAGTATTTAGAGTATCAAGAGAGTACTTGTTTTCTGTTCTTTGAACATGTACTATTTTTCTCCCTTCTACAAGACTAAGGATATTACAAAATTCCAAATACACGCAATGAGCATAAATATATAAACATCTCTGAGCTATCTTAACTTCAGAAGTACCTCAGTAATTCTTCAGGTTATAGCAAGGAAAAATATAAATTTACAGCATGGAATTTTTGAAACTACTTTCATTGTGAATGTTTTGAGACAGTCTAGAAAGCTGACACACAAATTACACTGTTAACTAGATTGAAGATACCTTGCTCTGGAATTGTATATCATCATTTTCTAATGCACAATTGTCATCTTGAGAGTAATATGACGTTGAAGCTGAAGAACTCTCTTTACAACATACATGCCAACTGGGAAGCCTGTAAAACACCCACCAACAACAAAAAGAAAGAAGGACAAGTTAAGTCTGCATAATCCATACATAGGCTAGAATCTGAGGCATTAACAGGTGAGACCATCCCTATCCTAATACCCTTAAAAATTTAATAATTTAATGATAAAATAAATGTACATATGTTAAGGGTTTAAAATTTAATACCCTAAGAAAAATATTCAGCCATAAAAAAAACAACAAAACCCTGGCTTTTGACAGGAAGTGGAAGAATATGGAAGATTTA